TCAGCCAAGAAAACCCATCTTCATTATTGTTTTAAATTTCTACCTTTACCAGCTAGAAGAAAGCTGGAGGTAGCCAGCTGAAAGTGAGTCAGTGTAAATGCCATGCATTTTACTAAGCTGATTTGGTTGTCCTTTGTGTTTAACATAATAAATCCTAGGCGTGTTGCAGTGTTTTAAAATACTATGTAACCCAAACAATTAGACTTCCTGTAGGTGTAGTCAGCTGAGAAAAAGAATTTGAGTGTTTCCTCTTTTATTTTAAGACATGTGTATAAAATAATATATAACCATAATCCACAAATCTGCAAGGATTTGCAAATTTTGTAAATTCATAGCAGTGTAGGTAAGATAAAGAAGTATAAACAAAAGCAAAATACTCTAACTAAGCACTGTTATTTATCTTGTTCTTGGTGTAGACAGTATTGTAGTCATATGTCTATAATACTACATACCTACTATGCCTTTTTCATTTGTTGGATTACTTTCTTGTTCTTACTGTTCTTGACTACCAACTTGGTACATTATGAATATTAACATATTTATTTTGAATAAATAAATGGAACAGGAATTGTTCTAGTTGTTAAAAATATCACACTAAGTTGTCTATTTTCCAATAGAATAGAGCCAATATTGTGATCTGATTAGAATCCAGGTCTCCAGATTATAAGGACTATGTTTAGTTAAAAATCACTGTTTTCAGCCTGGCTGGTGTTGCTCAGTGGTTGAGTGTTGACCTATGAACCAGGAGGTCATGGGTTTGATTTCTGGTCAGGGCATATGCCAGGGTTGTGGCCTCGGTCCCCAGTAGGTGGAGTGCAGGGGGCAGCAGATCAATGATTCTCTCTCATCACTGATATTTCTATCTCTCTCCCTTTTTCTCTCTGAAATTAATTTTAAAAAGTATATTTAAAAAAATAACTGTTTCTTCCTTTCCCAAGATAAAGAAAAATAGAGTTAAAAACAGGAATACTGGAAAAACTCTTTTGCTTTTGGATTGTGTACCATTAAGAAAATATTAAAAAAATAAAAATACCAAAAAATTACATTTAAGTGATCAATCTTGCAACCTACTTGAATAGTTTAAGTAATAGACTAATAAAAGTGAGGATTTGAATTGAGTTTGTTAATATTTACTACAAATATAGATTGTGTCTAAGAGGTAGGTGAAAATATAGACCCATAAATTTGGGAAACAGAGAGAACATGTTAGGGATAGTGAGTAGAAATATTAGGAGTAGTGGAGTGAACATGTAGGTAATGATTAAGTAATGAAGTTGGAAAGGTAGGTTGGGTGATTTTTGAATGCTATTATAGAATATAACAAAACCATAAAACTTTTGAGCAGAACAGTGATACATTTAATGCTAAATGTAATTACATTAATCTGAAGAATGTGTAGAACTTACATAGAATACAAAGAGGCTGAGAATAGAAAGATATTTTATTTAAACCATAAAGTAGTACTGAGCTGATTTACAATTATGGATATTACAACAATAATGAAGAAATAATAGATATGAGACCAAGAAAAATTGACTTGGCATGGCCATGAGGGTAAAAAGAAAGATGAAGTATCCACTTAACTATATTAAAACAATTGATAAAGCATTATAAAATATTCATTTTGTGATTTAATACATAATTAAACCAAGCTGTATATTTTGGTATGGTTTAGTACCTTATTCACTACTGTATGTTATCTATTAGAGAATTCAGTCATTTCTGTTTTGACTTTAGAGTTTTTCAATAAAACTATATCTTTCAATATGTTATTATTTAAAATATCTAGATATGCCCTGAAATTTGTAAAAAGCTCCAGTTGTGGTCATCCACTACAATCTTTTCCTGACATAGTTGCTATAAAGACAAAAACTTTAGGGGGAAAAGGAAAGCCTTGACAATCTCTTGGGCTTTAGAATCGCTCAACCTAGAGAATTATTTCCAGGGGTGTCCTGTTTTGTAGCCCACTGTTGAAGTCATTCTCTAAAGAGTTCTTTCCTTTTTGAGCTCTGCATCCCATTTCACTTCCTGCCTTCTATCTTAAGTTCTGGGCAGAGCACTCTTTGCTCTTAAAAACAGCTACTATCTAACTCCATAGTCATCCAAAGATGTTGTGTGCATATTTAAGTGCACTGCACACATCGTTTCTTTAACAGCTGGAAAGCTGAACCTGTGAACCAGAAACTTATCATATGTTTCAGCTGGACCCACCACGTCAGCAATTCATCCTCCCATTTTTTATTTTGGCAGCCTTGTGGCAGAAGGGGTGATTGCTAAGGCAGTGTGAGCCCTCCTGTGCCCCATTCACTGAATTTCCTTGCCTGAGGACATTATGATTGCTAACAAAGCTGCTTTAGGGATTATAGCTGAACCCTGATACGAATTTGTGTAAACATTACATGTAAGTGAAGAATGTCTCTGTAAAACAATCTTTCCATATTGCTGAGTTAATACATTGGTAAAGCCTTAACCAGAAGAAAAGCCTGTTCGGAACCCATCGCGACCTTCTGTCTCAGGTCATTGATCTTCTTTCGTGTTGTTGCCTTAGTTTCTATGACCCATCCTGACAGCGTGATCTAACCGGTGCTAGAAAAACCATCTCTAGGTATCACAGCATTTGTACTTATTCCTGTGACTTCTCATTTTCTGGCTGTAATTTAGCAGTTTGCATTGTATGGACAAAGTTTATGACAAATTCATCTCTAGAATCTTAGCTATTTTTGTTGTAATTTTCCTATTGGACAGATCTTTACAATGCTCATGGAAGCTTGGCACCCTTCAGTGGCTTGTTTTGCATTATGCCACTTGCTTGCAACTCAAAATTTATTTTTTTCTGACCTCCACCATCTTTTACTTTTTTTCTGCAATAGTTGTACATTTTTACCAACATATCCCTTTTTCTCATGGTAAAATAAAAACCACTTGGATGAGCACTACTTGAAAAACTTCTCCCAGACATGGGTGACTCTGTCCCATGCTTTCTTTTCTATTCTAAATTTTTATGTGTTTTTTATTGGGTTTAGAGAGAGGGGAGGGAGGGAGTAAAGGAGGGAGGGAGGGAGGGAGGGAGGGAGGGAGGGAGGGAGAGAGAGAGAGAGAGAGAGAGAGAGAGAGAGAGAGAGAGAGAGAGAGAGAGAGAGAAACTTCAATCCACTGCCTCTTGCTTGCGCCCTGACCGGGAAATCGAACAGAGTGGCGTTCAACCAACTGAGCCACACTGGCCAAGACCTCTTTTCTAGATTCTCACCTCTTTGAGAGCAAGGTGTAGATTCTTTCTTTATAGACCTGGCACCTGATGCAGTGCCTGGTGAGTAATAGGGGTTCAGCAAAGGTTTTTTTGAGTTCATTAGTGAATTTGTCCTTTCCATGTATTGGGCTTCATAATCACCAATCCGGAATAAAATAGTTAGGGGGAAAAACAACCTTTTTGAGGGTTTTTTCCCCCCTATTTATCTGATTCCATGATTTTATGCATAACTTAATTATCAATATGCATATATATGTATTCTGCCCAATTTAATGCAAAATTATTACATACTGATTCAAAAGGTTCTGCCTTTCTGAATCATAAAAGTTGCTATTTTCCCTTCAAAGTGACCTTTTTGTCAGCTATTCACAGTTTTGAATATGGTCTTAAATGCCTCTACTGGAAAATCATATCATAAGATATTTTTTTTTCCAAAGCCATATCCCACTAATGTTTGCAAAACCCGAACTACATTACATTTACAGTTAGAGTATGATGTTTTTAATATGAATGAACTCTAAAATAGCCACAGGTGACCAGTTTGGCATTTACAGTCTGTGGGATCTCCAGAGAGACAAATCTTTGTTTCCTGACTGTCTGACAGTTTGGCTTCTTCAGACGAGGTAAACATCATCTGTCCTTCAGCAGGACGCACGCACCATACACAGTGCCTGGGCAATTGCGTTTAGATGGTCACTGATTATACTTTTTAGTATTTTCAAGGTCAAGGAAAAGCCTGGCTGGGATTACATAGCAGATAGCAAACAACATCCTTAGGAGAGAGGTCCCTGGAAGCCTTTCCTAGCATTGGCAGTGATGTACTATATGCTGCAGGCTTACCATAGCTCTTTAGCACAGCGGTTCTCAACCTGTGGGCCGCGACCCCTTTGGGGGTCAAACGACCCTTTCACCGGGGTCGCCTAAGACCATCGGAAAACACGTATATAATTATATATTGTTTTCTGTGATTAATCACTATGCTTTAATTATTTTCAATTTGTAACAATGAAATTGGGGGTCACCTCAACATGAGGAACTGTATTAAAGGGTCGCGGCATTAGGAAGGTTGAGAACCACGGCTTTAGCAAGTCATCTGTTTGCTTTTATGCTCAGCTGAGTAGAGCTAAGATCAGTTTTTAAATCACATTGCCATATTATCCATCCCCACGATTCAAGACTACATTGGTAATTGTTTGATATTTTTGAAAAAGCCTTTCAGTTATACAACGTGGGAGGGAGGGAGAGATAAGACATGTTTATTTCCCCTGAAATGTTGGGTTATAAATTAAAATTAAATAAAATCATGTGTGTAAAAGTCTGCACTCCAAAGAAGACCTATTTTATATTTCCAGTGGTATGCAAAGGAAAAAATAGAATAGCTAAAGGTTTCATAGTGAAAAATTAACTCCTGAAGAGTAACCTGTTTTTCTATTTTAATCCAAACAGTAAAATGGTATGAAATTATTTGGGCACATATGAGATAAGGAAAGAAAATATTAAACAAAAAGCATTTGGTATCATTATTATTGCAGACATACCTTGTTTTATTGTACTTAGCTCTCTATTGCTTTGCAGATATTGCGATTTTTACAGGTTGAAGGTCTGTGGCCATCTGACATTGAGCAAATCTCTCAGTGCCATATTTTCCAAAAGCGTTTGCTCACTTCATGTCTCTGTGCTACATTTTGTTCATTCTTGCAACATTTTAAACCTTTTTATTATTATTATATTTGTGGTGGTGATATGATGTCAGTGACCTTTTATGTTACTACACCTTCCTGCGACCTCTTCCCCTTTCCCCAGAGGCCCTGTGCTGCACTCCGGATCACTCCTTTCATTTAGAGCTGGGAAGTGAAGTTGACATCTCTGAAGGAGAGAGAAAATCAGTCTCCACTACTTCTATTACCATAATCCCTCAATGCATAAAGGAGGAGGATGTCACCTCAGACAATGATAGTGGCATCTGTATGAGCCTGGAGTCCTATCTGGGCTCTCCCCAGAATGGTCCCTCCACCTCCAGGGCCTCCCCAAACAGGAATCTGCTGTCCTCAGCTTCCCCCTGTGGGTCTGCTGGCCCCAAACCCTATGACCCTCCTGGAGAGAAGGTGGTAGCTGCAAAAGTAAAGGGTGAGAAACTAGATAAAAGGCTGAAAAAAATGGAGCAGAACAAGACAGCAGCTACTAGGTACCGCCAGAAGAAGAGAGCAGAACAGGAGGCCCTCACCGGTGAGTGTAAAGAGCTAGAAAAGAAAAACGAGGCTCTGAAAGAGAAGGCCGATTCCTTGGTGAAGGAGATCCAGTACCTGAAAGATTTGAGAGAGGAAGTCCGCAAGGCCAGGGGAAAGAAAAGGGACCCCTAGTTAGGGTAGTCAGTGTGCTTGTACATAGGAGGCTTGAGCTGGAGATGTGTATCATAATAAATTATTTTGTAGTGAAAAAAAAATTGTTGGGAGCACCACAAAGCATGCCCATATCAGACATCAAATTAATCAATAAATGTTGTATGTGTTCTGACTGCTCCACTGAGCGACCATTCCCCCATCTTTCTCCCTCTCCTTAAGGTTCCCTATTAACCGAGACACAACACTATTGAAATTAGGCCAAATAATAGCCCTGCAATGGACTCTAGGTGTTCAAGTGAAAGGAAGAGTCACATGTCCCTCACTTTAAATCAAAAGCTACAAACGATTAAGCTTAGAGAGGAAGACATGTTGAAAGGTACCTGTCTTGTGCCCGTTAGCCAAGCTGTGAATTCAAAGGAAATGTTTTTGAAGGAAATAAAAAGTGCTATTCCAGTGAACAAATGAAAGAAAAGAAAGTGAAACAGCCTATTGCTGATGCAGAGAAAGATTCAGTGATCTGAATATAAGATGAAACCAGCCACATTCCCGTAAGCCCAAACCTAATCTAGTGCAAGGTTCTCACTCTGTTCAATGCTATGAAGGCTGAGGGAGAGGTGAGAAAGCTGCAGAAGAATAATTTGAAGTTAGGAGAGGTTGATTGATGAGTTTTAGGGAAAGAAGCCATCTCTATAACATAAAAGTACAAGGTGAAGCAGCAGGTGCTGATATAGAAGGTGTAGCAAGTTATCCAAAAGATCTAGCTAAGATAATTAATAAATGTGGCTAATTAAACAACAGACTTTCAATGTAGATGAAACAGCCTTATACTGAAAGAAGCTGTCATGTAGGACTTTCAGAGCTAGAGAAGAGAAGTTAATGACTGGTTTAAAAGCTTCAAGGACAAGCTGACTCCCTTTTAGGGGTAATGCAACTGATGACTTTAAAATAAAGCCAATGCTCACTTACCATAACAAAAATTGTAGAGCCCTTAAGAATTATAATAAATCTACGCTGCCTGTGCTCTGTAAATGGAACAAAGTCTGGATGAAAGCCCATCTCTTTGCAGCCTGGTTTACTGAATGTTTTTAATTAAACTTACTGAGGGGGCCATTGGTTAATAATATTATATAGAATTCCAGTGTATAATTCTACATCATCTGTATATTACATTGTGTTCCCACTACTCCAAGTCAAGTCTCCTCCCATCATCAAATATTTGACTCTCTTTAGCCTTTACTATCCTCACCCCCCCCCCCCCTTCCATCTGGTAACTGCCGGGAGCCGGTCCATCCTTGCTCTTTCAAGGGACCTGGCATATATGGCATACTGTTCTTAATATGTTTGCTCACCTTCTTGGCACTATGTGTTTTAACCAAGGTCTCTGAGAAAGGTTGTTTCCCAAGGTAGGGATTTTCCCCTGAAGTTAGGGAGGGAATAAAACCTCTTAACTAGTGCCAGGTGGGTAATTAATCACTTTAACTACGAACAATCATGCTTAAGCTACATAATCTTGACTCCCTGGAATGGAGATAAGAAACGCCCTAACCTTTGTAATAGAGATTGATAGGATTGAATCAACTGGTATAAATACAGATGTAGTAAGACAGCAAGACACAGAACTTAGAATACGGAACCAAGAGAGACAGAACCTACACAGAACTAGAGACAGAAGAACTTCGCTGGAGAGAACATGGCAAAAGATCCTGGACTGAACCTGACTACAGAAATTGGCAAGAAAACCTGACTAGAACCTGGTGACTGAACCTGGCTGGAGAACCTGGACAGAACCTGGCTGGAGAACCTCGCGAGGGAACATGGCTACAGAATCTGGCTGGAGAACCTGGAGAACCTAGCAAGAGAACATGGACACAGAACCTGGCTGGAGATCTGAAGCAGAACCTCTCTGGAGATCCAGACCAGAACTTGGCTGGAGATCCTGGCTAGAGATCCTGGCTAGCCTGCTGATCAACTGAACGCTGTCTCCGTGTCCTTCCTTCTTCGCCGACTCCGTCCACACCTTTGGGGACCCCTGGACCTGCTGGGAAGGACCCCGGCAGGTAACCACCATACTGTTGTCTGTGTCTATGAGTTTTTGTGTCTTTTTCTTATTTGTCTATTTGTTGCCTTCAGTTTTATATCCCACATGAGTAAAATCATATGATTCTTAATTTTTCTGTCTGACTTATTTTGCTTAGCTTAATATTCTAAAATCCATCCTCATTGTTTCAAATGGTAGTATTTCATCTTTTCTTATAGATGAGTAGTATTTCATTGTATATATGTACCACATCTTTACGCAATCATCTAGTGAAGGATACTTCATTTGTTTTTATGTCTTGGCCATTGTGAATAAGGCTACAATGAACAGAGGGGTGCATGTATTTTTGCAAATAAATGTTTTCAACTTTTTTCTGGTAGGTACCCAGAAAAGAGGATGCTGGGTCAATGATCACTGTCACCATTCTTATTCAACATAGTACTGGAAGTCCTAGCCAAAACAATCAGGGAGGAGGAAAGAAATAAAAGGCATCCAAACTGGGGATGAGGAAGACATGACTCTTTATATTGAAAATCCTGCCGAAACCGGTTTGGCTCAGTGGATAGAGCGTCAGCCTGCGGACTGAGAGGTCCCAGGTTCGATTCCGGTCAAGGGCATGTACCTGGGTTGCGGGCATATCCCCAGTAGGAGATGTGCAGGAGGCAGCTGATCGATGATTCTCTCTCATCGATGTTTCTAACTCTCTATCTCTCTCCCTTCCTCTCTGTAAAAAAAAAAAAAAAAAAAAAAAAAAAAAAAAAAAAAAAAAGAAAATCCTAAGGACTCCACACACACACACACACACACACACACACACACACACACACACAAATTTAGAAACAATAAACAAATACAGTAAAGTTGCAAGATATAAAATCAATGTATAAAAATCCACTGTATTCCGACACACTAACAATGAAATTTCAGGAAAAGAACTTGAAAAAAACAATTCCTTTAGCAATTGTAACAAAAAGAATAAAATACCTAGGATTAAACTTAACAAAAGATGTGAAGGATTTATATACTGAAAACTATAAAGCATTACTAAGAGAGATTAAAAAGACAATAAAATTTAAAGATCTTTTGTGTTCATGAATTGGAAGAATCAACATAGTTAAAATGGCCATATATCCCAAAGCCATATACAGTTTTAATGCAATCCCAATCAAAATCTGAGTGACATTTTTTAAAGAAATAGAACAAATAATCATCAGATTCATTTGAGACCAAAAAAGACCCCAAATAGCCCAAGCAATCTTAAGAAAAAAGAACAAAGCCAGAGGTATCACACTCCCTGACTTCAAATTATACTACAAAGTGATAATAATAAAACAGCATGGTATTGGCCAAAAACAGACACAGAACAATGGAACAGAATTGAGAGCCCAGAAATAAACCCACATTTTTTATCAGCAAATAATTTTTTTTATAAAGGAGCCAAACAAAAACATACAATGGAAAAAAGAAAGTCTCTTCAATAAATGGTGCTGAGAAAATTGTACAGCCACATGCAAAAAAATAAACTAGACTACTGCTTGTCCCCAAATACAGAGATTAACTCAGAACTAATTAAATACTTAATATAAAACCCAAAACAATAAATTACATAAAATAAACTATAGGCACTAAGCCTATGGATCTTGGTCTAAGAGAAGACTGTATGGGTTTACTGAATATTTTAAGCCCACCAATGACACCTATTGCCCAGAAAAAATATTCCTTTCAAAATACTAGTGCTCATTGACAGTGCACCTGGACACCCAACAACGCTGATGGAGTTTTACAATGAGATGAATATTGTTTTCATGCCTACAAACACAACATCCATTCTGCAGCTCATATTTCAAAGAATAATTTCAAATTTCTAGTCCTGTAGTGATTCCTCTGATGGAACTGAGCAAAGTAAATTGAAAAACAGCTAGAAAGGATTTACAATTCTAGATACCATTAAGAGCATTTGTGATTTATTAGAAAATGTCACAATATTAACCTTAACAGGAATTTGAGAAGTTGATTCCAACACTCACGGCTGACTCTGAGGGTTTCAAGACTTCACTGGAGAAAGTAACTGCAGATGTGGGGGAAACAGCAAGGAGAATTAGAAGTAGAGCCTGGAGATGTGATTGAACTGGTGCTATTTTCCAATAAAACTTCAACAATGAGCAGTTACTTCTTATGGATGAACAAAGAAAAGTGCTTTCTTAAGATGATGTCTACTCTTGGTGGAGATGCTGTGAGGTTATTGAAAGGGCAATAAAAGATTTAGAATATTACATGAACTTAGAGGATAAAGCAGTGTCAGAATGTGAGAAGATTGACTCTAATTTTGAAAGTTCTACTGTGATCAAAATACTATCAAATAGCATAAAATACTATAGAGATGTTGTCTGTGAAAGGAACAGTCAATTGATGCTGCAAACTGCATTGTTGTCTTATTTTTATTTATTTATTTTATATATATATATATATATATATATATTTGAACATTATAATTCAACAAGTCTAATTTTAATAATCTTCCAAAAGAACATTTATAATTGATACTCTAATTTGGGTTAAATGAGTCACTGAGATTTATCTGTCGAAGTGTTTTCCAAACAGGACTCTGCTCAATGATGTAAGCTTTAGTTGTTATCATTCTGTAGCAGATGCTATCTATGTATGGTTTGGAGGTGATCTTAGCTATAGCGCACATAAGATCAATAGCATTTACTGTGTTGTGTACTGATAGTATCCATAAGTTACTACCCAGGAATCTCTGCTGAATCCTGAACATCAGCTTCCATTCCTCGAGTCCATGGAGGGCAGGCAGCAGACAGAACCAAAAAACTATGTTGGTGAATATTAATAAACTTCTCAATTTTGGCTAGAAATATTTCTTCAGCTGACATAAAGCATTCTTTAGCATCCATCAACAAAAATGCAACTCCAGTACGAGAAAATATAATTGATCCATTTTCCACAGAAACTGAACACCGAACCTTGTGACTTCGGTTTTCCAGGGCAGTTGCAATTTCACATCTCTTAAGAGATGAACTAATAACAATGGTGGTTGTCCACTTT